ACCTGTGATAGATGTTGCCTACCGGTCTCCTTTATTAAGTAGACAAGGCAGCAGCACGGAATGTCGGCTAGGAGCAGTGTCGACCGACCGCCATTGAAACGTGAGGATCTCCATCAATCCGACACATTTTATGTCGCAGCGCCACTGAAAGTGTGACGCGAAAGGCGAACAAAAGTTGTTCGGCGCAGACTTTGCGGGAGCAAGGCGCAACACAAGGCACCTCGACTGTGAATGCTGCACCATGAGAAGTTTCTGGCGCAAAGTAATTTTCTTTTCTATATATGCTTCTTTGCAGTACAACATAGAAATCGAATCATTGCTTCTTCTTCCGACATCACGCTCACTAGCATCCAAACCTAATCCTGAACAATTTTCATGTCTAACCGAGCGCCTGCGACAGCGGCCATACTCGAATCAATTAATTTTACATGCACGGCCGGCTCACTATTGGGAAGGAGACGACATTCGATGGTCACGCAAGCTTACGAGACGTCTACGACAAATTGTCTTCTTCTCAGGCAAGAATTCTCCAACTCGAACAACTTTGATTGCATTGCATTCATTCATCTTTATTTATCAAGTCTTTGTATCAGTCAACTACTTTCGAATCAAGTTTCCAAAATACTGGCCCAGTGGCGCACTAGAAATCATTTTTGATGCAATTCTAGGATCAGCACGACCCGGTCCGCTTACGCTCGACTTTGGCTTGGAACCCGATGGACTTGCTAAGTACGTCCAGCCGCATAGATACCTGACGTCAGGCTTCTTGCATGGAGGAATACTTCATTTGGTTGCCAACATTGATGCATTACAAGGTCTACCAGCATGGTTGGAGACGGGCATTGGCATTCCGCTTTATTTGACAACATTTCTACTTTCCATGGTGGCTGGAAATGTTGGCGCACATGTCATGAATTACGACACTGCATCCTCATTTTGTCTGGGCGCCAGTGGCGGTATTTCGGGGTTGTATGGTCTCTTGTTTGTGTCGCTGTCGCGCATGGGCAATCGCCAAGCACTGACGTGGGTAGGACGAGGCATGGGCATGCTGCTGCTCTATGGATTTTTGTTCAAGAGCGTTAACAATGCGGCACACGTTGTTGGTTTTATGTGCGGGGCAGTCATTGCCATCCTGTTTGGTCCGACATATCGAAAGAGTTACTCGCAGAGGCGAAAAGGCTCTGTGGCGGCGGATCCAGTGTCCAAAGATTATCGACTCGCCATGGGGTTTGGAACTTTGCCCAAGAGCGGATTAATACCACTGGCAGTTCTGTGGGTGATGGTACTGGGAAGTATGCTGTCTGTAGCACAATTGCGATCAATTCCTGCTATCATTTTACAAGGATTTCTACGGCCTGGGTCAATTTCTAGGGTGATATAAAATTTTGATTGTGTAAATATTGTCTCTAACCTTTGTAAAACATTGTTACCTCTAACACTAATGGGCGCAACTTATTTTAGTTTGCAGCTACTGGAAGGCGACATTCTTTGCCATTTCCGGCTTGTTGGCTCCACGCGAGCCTTGTCGAACACTCTCTCGCGACGCCAGTCGAGCGCGAATCTTTTCGGTCTGTCGGGGATCGCACCGACGCAATACCTCTAAAGTCACAGTGTCGCCTTCATTCTTCTCTTCAATTTCTGCCAGCAAGTCCTCAACTTGCTTGACTTCTTGTCCATTGACGCGAACAATCAAGTCTCCAAGACGAACTGAACCATCCCTTTGCATCGTAGTTGGTTGTAGATCCGTGGCAGCTGCTGGAGAACTGGGTAGAATATCCGCCACCAAGACGCCTTGCAGGTCTCTACGCATTTGTGCGCCAATTGACCGCGTCACACGGTCGTCCACCACGTTGATACCCAGTGTTGGTCGCTTGACGCGTCCGTAGCGTATGATCTGATTGACAACTCGTCGAACCGTGTCGACAGGAATAGCGAAACCAATTCCGACATTGCCGCCACCCCCGGCGCTATAAATGGCAGTGTTGACTCCAATCAAGCGTCCACGTGAGTCCAGCAGCGGACCGCCTGAGTTTCCAGGATTAATAGCAGCATCTGTCTGTACGCAATTTTTAATTTTACGACCGCCAAAGCCTTGCACGTCGCGACCAGTTGCTGAAACAATCCCCTTGGTGAGCGTATTATCAAGACCAAATGGATTTCCGACGGCCAGAACCGATTGACCCACTTGGAGGTCGTTGGAAGCCGACCCTTTGCCAAAACGGTGGATGCCTTATCCGAGTCCAGTATCTTCAGGACTGCCAGGTCCTTCTCTGGTTCGACACCAACGACGCGCGCCCGACAAGCTTCCGGCATGCCACTCAACTTGACTTTTACATTGTCCGCCACTCGTCCGTTAGGCGCAATCACATGACAGTTAGTAACAACATGGCCTTCAGAGTCCCATAGAAACCCAGATCCTGATCCCATCGGAAACTCGGTCGCCGGTAGACCAAATCCACGTGGCATTCCTCCTTGCTGATGCTGCTGGGTGAGAGTAATGAATGCGACGGATGGCGCAACCTGCTTGAAGGTTTGAATGGTCCAATCTTCGTCAGCCGAAAGCGGTTTTATCGCTGACACCCCAAAGGGTGTACGGGATCGGAGTGAATGCGATTCATTGAGACGTGCAACAAGATCACTCTTCTCGAGGCAGTCGCGAAAGTCGACTCCTCGTTCCGAAAGCAATTGCTTGAGCTCAGTAACACTCAATGATGAAAGGCTGGATGAGGAAGCAAAAGCAACAACACTTTGTGCAAGAATCGTGATCTGCAGGACCAAGTAAACTACCTTCATGGCTAACAGAAAAGACGCGAAGCAAGAATTGAACGAAACAAGTGTGAAGTGTGACACGATCATGCGTTTGGGCTGCGCGTTCGAAGCAAAATTGTGACGCAGTCGTACCGGTATAAGCGCGAACAATGCAACAATTACTATTGCCAGTCACGAAGTGTCATTATATACTATTGCCTAGTCAAGATTTCATGAAGTCAAATACCATTACTATTGCCTGTGAACGTTTTCAAAAGTAGTACAGTTGTACTTAGTATTGCCTGGCAAGAACTTCTTTATTGGTGCGACTTTTTCTGATAGCTTGAGCTTCCGCGTGATGTCTTGCACCATGGTCGTGGTGCCTCCACTTTCCATTCACTCGTCGATCATCATCATCCAGTTGCTACAATACTTACAACATCAACCGTTTCCATAGTTACCAAAATTCGAATTGAAGTCGGCCCTTTGGCTGTCGAAGTAAAATTGAAATCTGTTTGTTGCGTCGCGGCAGAAGTTTACACACTATATTCTCTACTCATACTTGTACGATTGTTTTTCGGTGTACCATTTGGCAACAGTCTCTGCGCAGACTTTTCAACATGCCCAAATTGGCGATCTTTCGAGCAACGAAAGAAGGTTTAGAGCAGGGCCTACGTGAGAAGGACCACTCCCAAACAACCACGGAAGCATATCTGTTCCGTTTCCAAGAGTACTCAACCGAGTGCTTGTGCCATGCATATGCAAGTGGCGCTGCTGTTCTTCGTGTGGACTCTACGGGCGCATTAAGTTCTTCTCTAACAGAAGATGTCGTATCACTCTGTTATTTGCAATGGACTGCACTCCGTGACTATAGCAGTACGAACAGATCCTGCAACGAGCAATCGCTAGTGCTCTCCGGTATGCTTCACGTTGTCCGGACGATGCGAGTCATGCACCAAAGTAAACTTTCTTTGCATTGGACAACGTTGATGGACTGCTGTCGCGCTGCTAATGACTTCATTCGCATGGCTGATAAACTGGAAGTATTGTGGTGTAAGTTATGCGTTCAGCATCCATACCTTCAAGCACCATCGGCGCGGAAGCTCCTACAGGACACTGGCATTGACGCAGACACTGCCAATACAACACTTTTCGATGAATGGAATAATTTCATTTGCATCTTGTCGTGCGACGCAGTGGCGTGTGCCGAGCGAGCACAAGTGTTCATGTTACGACACCTGGCCAATCAAACAACGATTGGAACCGATTTTTTCTCGTCGTCCTGGGAGAAAGACTTGACGGACAATCAAGTTATGATAAGATTGATTAAAGTCATTGATGCTTATTTGGCTGATTTGAAACACTTTCTTGCCAGTGAACACTTGTGGTGTAAGGCTTTGCTGACCACGTGCAAGGCGGTTGTGTGTCTATATGTGCGCTGCCTCGTGGAAAGGGCGGATGTTGTGACGGGACGTCGGCGCAACCACAACCGTCGGGCTGGAACTAAAAGCGACCGCAAACCGTTCTCTCACGCGGATCGTGCACTCCGACGCATGCGCGACGATGTTTCCATGCTGCGTGACTTTTTTCTCGTCGAGGCAAACGGCAATCCGGCATTGTCGCGAATATTGTCCGATGAGTTACGCATATTGGAAGTGATTCATGAATGCTTGAATGCTGATGATGCCAGTTCTATTGAGTCATTTGTCGTTGTTATTCACAAGCGAACTGGCGTGGATATACTGGTGACACGATGTTTTCTTTCGGACTTGTGGATGCTGGTCGCGCATCGACCAGGCAAGCAGGACATTGAAAGAGTGCTTGCCTCGTTAGAGACCGATCTACAGCTCGTTTCGACTCGTGTGCAGGAGCAGTGCACGTTGGACAAGAAGTCTGCTCGAAATGACATGTCGTTTGTGCGACTGGACGATATGCTTCGCGTCATGTATGAGGATCGCATTGTACAGGGAATGCTGCCCGCTTGTTGGACATGTGTTCCCAAGATGGAGACAGAAGACAGCAAGGTAGCAATTCATGGCATTCGTCATTTGATGCGAAAGCTAGACGAGTTTCGATGGAACAAGGCATCGGCGTGGGCTAGGTAGTTTTTCAGTAGTTCGATGGGTGCAAACAACCTTTACATAGTACTTGTTAAATATGGCGACTAGCAGTAACTTGCGGCTATACCACCATTGATTGGAAAGAACTTTTATTTATAGAAACAGTTGTCAAGTTTAGAGACAAAAAATCATTGTCTCAGACCGGAGTCGAACCGATGCCCAACGAATTGGACTAGCACCTGAAGCTAGCGCCTTAGACCACTCGGCCACTGAGACACAACCTATTGAACGACATTGACAAATTTTCATGTGCGATATTTCTTGAATCGTCACTATCAAAGATCGATGAATACTCCTATCATATTGGCGAGATCCCGTTGGACGGGCAGCACGTCAGCATAGTATTACATTTGGAAACCGAAAAAAAGCAAGATCTACCGTAGGAACTGCAACATCAGAGGAGTGGCGCCAGCATGAAGGATGGCGAGGAGAAGACGTCCGCTCCGCAAGCGAGCGTTCGCGATGTCTTTTCGTTTGCCAAAACCCGTCGTATTCGTCTCTGCATTGCTGGATCTTTTACAGCAGCCTGTGTATCAGGTGCATGTCTTCCAGCGATTGCCTTTTACTTTGCCAAAGCTTTTATGGATTTGGCACGATCAACGTCGAGCGATGTATTTTTGAGCTCGGTCCGAAGCATTGCCTTCGTCTTTATGAGTTTGGGTGTCATCCTCATGACGTCCATGACGATTCAAGCGACCCTTCAAGAAACGGCGGCGGCGGAAATGACAAAGGCTTTCAAGAAGAGCTGGTTTCGAGCACTCTTACGACAGGACATGGCTTACTATGACATAGAGGATGTTGCTGGGCAAGCAACCACGATTTCTTCCAATGGAAACAAATTCAAGAGTAGGTTAACCTTGCACTTGACTGCTCTGCATTCATTCATGCACCCAATCATCTTACGTTTTGTTCTATATCCTATGTCCTTTTTCTTAGAGGGCGTTGGACGCAAATTGAGCGAAGCAGTCCAGTTTACAATTACATTTTTTGGAGCCTTGGGATACGCTTTTTATGCAACTTGGCAACTTTCTCTAGCCGTTTTGGCTGCATCTCCACTATTGGCATACAGTATCTACACGGCGATTAATCTCATACCGACGGAAAAGTCACGAGCAAATGCCTTGTACGCCAAGGCCGGAGCTGTTGTCACGCGAACCGTTTCCAATATTCGAACCATTCTTTCCTTTAACGCCGTCCAGCGGATGGTGGATGACTACGAGCAGGCTACAAAACAAGCCATGAAGGGTGCGATTTCAAACTCGTGGCTGGTCGGTTTGGCGACGGGTGCCATTTACGCCACTTCCAACATTGCTTACATTATCGTGACTCTTCTTGGAGCATGGCTACTGTACTCTCAGGTGGAAATTGATGGGTGTGATCCGTCTGGAACAGTGGAAGGCGTCGCAGCGTGTAATCCACAGGGTATGGACATGATGGGAGCACTCATGGGAGTATCATTTGCCGCTGGAGTCTTTCCGCAAGTTTCAGTTGCCATTGAAAGCATGTCTGGAGCACGAGCTGCATGCTATCCGGCATTACTGGCTATGCGCCGAAAGCTGGCAATAGACAAATGCGAAAGTTGCCCAGACAAGGATGTGGAGAGCCAAGACGAGGAAAGTGGCGGTGCGCACGCGAAGGGTGAAAAGATTGGAAGTAATGAATTGGACGCGAATAAAACCAACCTTGCGCATGGAAGGTTGCCGAAATATGTAATTGATTCTTCGTCGGAAGAAGGAATCAAGTTGACGAACGTCAAGGGCGATATTCAGTTTCGGAATGTTACTTTTGCCTTTCCAACGCGCAAGGAGAGCACCGTACTGTCTGACTTTAATCTACGAGCGGAATCTGGAATGACGATAGCTATATGCGGGCAAAGCGGCTGTGGAAAGAGCAGTGCATTGTCCTTAATCGAGCGGTTCTATGATCCCAGCAATGGGACAATGACGCTCGATGGTGTTGACCTGAGACAGTTAAATGTGCGCTGGCTGCGAGAACAAATTGGCCTCGTTCTACAGGAACCCAAGCTTTTTGCGAAATCAGTAAAAGAGAACATTGCGATAGGGTGTCCGTCGGCAACAATGCAAGAGATTGAAGAAGCTGCGCGCATGGCAAATGCTTACGACTTCATCATGTCGTTCCCAAAAGGTTTTGACACTCAAGTCGGAGACGTGGGCGCTCAACTTTCTGGGGGACAGCGACACAAGTTGGCTATTGCCAGGGTGCTTTTAAAGAAGCCGAAGGTGCTTTTGCTGGACGAAGGTACTTCCAATTTGGACTCTGCGTCTGAAGCTGCGGTGCAAGAAGCTTTGGACAAGGTGATGCGCCTGAAGAAAGTCACAACATTTGTTGTCGCCCATCGTTTATCAACGATCCGCAACGCTGAGATGATCGTAGTTATGGATCAGGGCAAGATCATTGAAACGGGCACACATGATAGTTTGCTTGCGAATGCGGGGACGTACTACAATCTTGTGCAGGCTCAGAAGACCCGACAGAATTTGGAGTCTGATATCTTGGCCGAAGCAGTTAACCAAGCTAGCAATCCCCCCAATGTGAGCTTGATTGATACTAGTACAACAATTGACAGCGAACTCGGACGGCGCGTGGCGATTCGTTTTTCCGATGTTACGTTTAGGTATCCTGCTCGTCCCGAGGCGGAGGTGTTGCGTAACTTAAATCTGACTGTATACGAAGGCGAAACCCTTGCTTTAGTTGGAGCCAGTGGTTCAGGTAAATCTTCTATTATGCAGCTCATTGAAGGTTTCTACCGGCCGACCGCCGGCATTGTCGAGTTTTATGGTGAAGATGTGAAGAATGTCAACATGCAATGGCTTCGTGACGAGATTGGATTTGTGAGTCAAGAACCAGCATTGTTCGAAGGAACTATTGCGGACAATATCAAGTTTGGATTTCCAAAAGCCACTGATATGGAAGTCGTCGAAGCGGCCAAACAGGCGAATTGTCACGAGTTTGTAACTGAATTTCCTCACGGGTACGAGACAATGGTACGAGATAGTGGGACGCTATCTGTTGGACAAAAACAACGCATTGCGATCGCGCGCGCTTTGATTAAACAGCCGAAGGTCCTTCTGCTTGACGAATTCACATCAGCACTCGACTCTCTTAGCGAAAAGGTAGTACAAGCGGCGTTAGAGAAGATCATGGCGCGCAAGGACCAAACATGCATCGTGATTGCACATCGCCTCTCAACCGTAAGGGACGCCGATCGAATTGGTGTTATTGACAATGGCACAGTCGTCGAGATTGGGACGCATGATGAGCTCATGTCGAAGCCTGAGGGTAGGTATCGACAGCTGCAGGCCATGCAAGATCTCACTATGGGTACCTTGACTCCTTCGAGTAATACTGATAATTATGCAAAAATTCTGTCTCCTGAAGGAGCCAAGTTGCTGCCCAACGTGGCAAACGAAAAGTACAAATTAAAAGTGGAAACATCTGGAACGGAGGCAGCAGTAAATGGCGAGCGAGCCTAGCTTATGGGTGTTGTGGACTGGCCTTATCTAGCAATCGGTACAGCAGGAGCACTGGTTGCCGGTCTTCAGTTTCCTGCCATGGGTTGGGTTTGGGCGTACATGATTGAACTGCTTTATCGACCGGTAGTAACTTGCCAAGTAGCAGCGGATTTACTTGGATTCAAAGACTGTAATGCGTACCATGACGACGTCGCGAACGATATGAAGCACCTGTCATATCTTCTTACGTACGGCTTTATCGGACTCACTGTCGCTTCCTTAGCTGGCCTTTGCGTCACGTATTGGGGATTTGGATCAGCGGCGGAAAGAATGAGTAAGCGAGTTCGAGATGCTGCATTTGTCAGCATTGTTCGCCAGGAGGTGGCGTGGCACGATTTGCAATCGCCTGGCGAACTATCGTCTCAGTTGGCGGACGACACCTCCATGTTGCAAGCCTTTGCAGGTAAGTACGTTATGAGCGGCCACTATGCACGTGCCAACGATCATAGCTAATCTCCCAAGTTGCTAAAGGCGAGCCGATCCGAAGTTTGGTTATTAGTGTATCAAGCGTTGTGGTCGGTCTCATCATTTCTTTTGTGTATATGTGGCCGTTTGCCTTGTTGATCCTTTTTATTTTGCCATTCTTGGTAAGTTGCTGTGGCCATCGGACTTCTTTTGGATATTGCCACCTGCTTGTCATAAATATCACGCTTGCCATTATACCATTTAGGCGATTGGTGCCATGATTGAGATGAAAAGCTACATTGCTGATGATGCTAATGTGGAAGTGCCCAAAAATGAGAGTTCTCCTGGCGGCATTGTCATTGAGACGCTTGCCAATATCCGGACAGTGGCATCATTGACACTGGAAGACCATCAAGCTCTCGAGTATGATCGAGCGCTCGAACGTGAAGATCCGTGCCCATTGTGGTCGAACTTCGTGAAGGGTGCCGCAACTCCACTGCGCTAATGTTTTGGTGGGGAGGGTTTTTAATGTCGCGGTATTCCGGATCATTCACGTATCGGGGATACGTAAGTTGTGCTCTTGTGCGTTTCGAATGTTGTCGCTTGTTCATTCTCCAGCTCACCTTCGCTTCGTCACTTACAGCTAATTGCTATGTTCGCGTTATTCATGTCAGTGCAAGGGTTGGCACTTGTTGGTCAAGGAACTGTCGACAAGGTGAAGGCAAAGGCGGCAGCTGCTCGCATATTTGCTGTTATGGACCGCCAGAGCCTTATCGACCCGCTTAGTACGGACGGCAAAGTGTTGTATTAGACACATTTTTTCATCGTTCTTAATGTAGTAACTATCTATTTACAACTATGCACTCATATTATGAACTTGCTTCGTTTTCCACCATGCGATCAAGTGGCAAAACAAACGGCGGTTCATCAATCATCGTCATTCCAATATCATCCGTCCATTCATTTTCCAAAATGCCCACGTCTCGAAAATCCTTCCAATTTGGACACGCACACAAGTGGCGTTCAGATTGTTCGTTCACATTAACGACGATGTTTTTCAAAGCCGTCGTAATCGTGTAGTTGGCCAACATGGGAACGCGTAAGGTTGCTTCCGCATCAACGTACAAAACGAGCTTGCCCCGATAATACTCCGCGACCAAACCAAGTGCATCCCATTTATCGGGCGCCAGGTGCGCAACAATGAGCAAATCGGAAATAGCCATGGGTGCAGCGACCATGGGAGGAATGTCATACGTCCCAACAAAGGCGCCATTGTGC